TTCTTGAGTAGTTATTTTTCCCTGCGAGGATCCTAGTTCCTCAAATTTGTGTTTTGTTTTGATTTTTAGATAACTTTTGGGTGCTACTCTCCCCTCAGTGAATAAGGAGACTTGAAATTCTCTTCCTGTTGGATTAAATACCACTGTTGCAACTTCTGTTCCAATATTTTCCTGAATACTTGTACTACAGAAGTGTTCTGTCTTTAATTCCTCATCTTCCTCTATAAACAGAACAGCTTCTGTTTTATGGCAAAGCCATAAAATTTCTGGCTTTGCCAACATAGACCATCCATTTCCCATATGACACAATCGTTTGACATAGCAGCAGTGCTGCTAGTTTGTCAGTTAAGTTTGCGTTATGGGGCTTAGTCTGGAGTCTGGTTTGTTTGAAGGTTTTAATATTCCTTTATGACCATATTTTACGTCAAACTGAATTACTTGTGGTACTGCAGGAAGGCTTTTGTTTGCTGGCAACATACCATCTATGGTGTCTTGTGGGAATTCTTTTTCTTTAATTTTATAAGGATGGAAAATATCTTCTACATGATACACTGTTGCTTAGAGGAGCAGGCTATCACTTGGAAAATTATCATAATCTCTCACAACGTGTCTTTGTAAACTATGTTTTGTTACACAGTAAGTTTCCCCAAACATACTTGAAATCTACCAATTACACTTACCAGTCAAAACCCAGTAGTAGTATCTTGTTCAGCATATTGATGCAACTTAATTCATCTCTCCAAGAAATTCTTAACTAGTTCCTTCAGAGAAATTGACATTTAATGGATATACTTTTGGTTCCTTCTCAACTAAGCATCTAAGATGAAAACCCTGCTTTATAACATAGACTCCTTGTAAGCTAGACCAAAAAAGCAACAAATACACCACAATATAAAAATATTCAGTATAGCAGTTGTCAACACCCAACTTGTATGCAGGCTTATATTTCACAAGTGGTACTCTCTCTAAACTTGTAATATTTTAAATGTTTTAACGTTTAATGATTAGTAAACGTGCCTTTTTCTTGTGCCAGTATATGCTCAGCAGAAAGTGGTGGCATCAAGAAGTTGCTTACAGTACCTGTGAAATTCTTAGAAATCTTTCTAAAAAGGCTTGGAGAAGTGACTGAGAATATGGCAAGGTTAAAAAAAGTATTCATGAAAATTTATCTTCCATACACCATGACTAGTTGTAATATGAAAACCTGGCACCAATTTCTCTTGTTTGCTTAGAAGTCCATTATGTATTTTCACAGCTTTCCCAGAAAGTCATAAATCCTGTTTTAACTGAGAATATTTTACTTTCTACAATTATCTAAAGGATGTATGTTTAAAAAACTAACTTTGCAACTTTTGTACTTGGACACCAAAGGGTTAAAACATTTTAAAGTGTAGTATTTTAAAGGTCATTTTGCTTTAGAAATTTTAGACTTAGTATACTGATGTTTGTAGGAAGAGGGTTTTTCTCATTGTGGGCATATTAGTGTTCTGATTCTTTTTTTTTTTTAATCCTTGTTGTATGCTAATTTTTGTGTAGGCATAGTTACTAATTTATTTGAAATACAGCATACTAAATTTAAAGTAACTGAAGCCATGAGTTGACCAGTAGTTTTAGTTCATGCTTTTTAAATTTCATCAAAGAATTGACAATTAATTTGGCTTCAGGATGAAAGTAGTAATGCTTAAGGCATTAAAGGCTCAGTATTTTGTTGTCAAGGTGGTCACATGATAATGGCTTACATAATGAATAATGTGCTACAGCACTTTATGTATGTTAATGTAACTTTTAATCTTACTGTTGCCTGCAAATATGTGATCCCTTTTGATATAAGTTTCCTGTTTATGCACCATTGCCCGTTTAAATCAAACAGAAGATTCTGAAACTGTAAAAAATACACATGTCAATGTTTTACAGCTACGTAATTCGAATTGACTTGATTTTTTCAAGTAATCCTAGAAAGGGGGAGCATTCCATATAGAAACTGCTGAAACTGCCACAGGTGCTTCTCCGAAAACCTTACAGTTGTGGCATTGAATGTTCAGTATCGCTTCCTTTCTGCACACAAGGCATACTGTTGAGGTATTTGTTGCGGTGATTGGTTTTAATGCTAATCTAGGAATTCAGATATAGAATCTATAGATTTGCATGCTTTGCTTACCCTAATTTACAATGTCTACATTCTTATTTGTAAACTAACAATAGATAAGTTGAGATCAGTACTTTTTAACAGAAGTATTATGCTGATATACAAAAACTGTGGTTTATTTTCTTAGATTGTCGCATGGCATTAACAAAGAATACATAAAGCAGTAGGTGATGTGGTGATCTCTCTTTTTTTTTTTTAAATGATAGATTAGGGGATTTAATTTAAATGTTGATTATTCTTAGCAGCAAATCCTGGTTTTGTTTGTTTTCCAAAGTATGTGACGTTATAAGCAGAATATAAAGTGTGCTTTTTGAAATAGTAGTCTAAGACTTCTACAGAAATACTAAACTTGCTCTTTCCTGAGATGAAGTAAATACACAGAATATCAAATTCTTGATCATATGCAAGAAACAGTTTGCTTACCAAGCTTCTTAGTACTTTAGATAAAGTTTATATAAGTATTTTCAGCTGATATATCTTTATACTCTGATTTCAGTATCTTGCTTTCTCCTGTTGGAAGGTTCTTAATGGGGATATTTTTCTGAGCGCTAGTGTAAAGATTCTTTTTCCTGCAGAATGTTTTTAATAAACTTTTGTTAAGATAAACTTGGCAGAGAGCATGCTTCTACTGTATAAATGTCCAGACAGTGAATTTCAGCTTTCCCCATCCACTTCCTGTTTGGTCAAAAACCTATTTTTATTAATTTAATTAAAATTGATCAGGCTCACGTCAGCACTTGTGAGTATTGTAGAACTAATACACTTCTAGGCTTTGTGTTGCATCAGTGCCCTTCCACTATTTGGCTGATACTGATACAACAGTCTCAAATTTATCATGGCTCTGGAATAAATGCTATGGTGATGTAGGTAGCTAAAGAAGAAAAATTGGAAGTTAAAACAAAAGAGATGAGTGAAAAAACATGAAACATACTCATTAGAAATTAGGCATAGTTCTGAAGACCAGCTTATGAAAACCACTTGATGCACAAGAAAATATGAGCATCAAAGAAGTCAATTGCAGACTATCGTCATTAGCATTGTTGTTGTGGAAGGAATTACCAATAAATGCATTCTTGGGTTTTACGACAAAATCAAGTGTCTGGTTATGAGTTTCTGTATGAAACAACACGTCACTGTAAGAAGCTCTTGCTTGAAATTTAGTAAACAGCAAAGAAGAACCTTAGGATCACTCTACTTTATTCTTCTTAATGAATTTTACCTCTCCCGTATTTGTATCTCCATCTGACTTATTCTTCTTGTAAGAATATTTTTCTTTCCACTGTACTAATCCCCACGCCCAACATTTCCCCCTGAAACATATTTAACATCACCTTTTAAAAAAGGTAACCTGTCCTTTTACATTATTCCTGACTCTTGGATTTAAGGCCTTGAGGCAGAAGGTTCAAATTGTAGTTTCTTAGTTCCACATAACAGAGTAAAAGGAAATGTATATGTAAGAAAAAATCTAGAGGTGTTGTTACAAACTTTTGATAACAATACCAGAGAGAGCTGTCTTCTAAATGCAGAGTGAATAGACTTTCTGATCAAGAAGTTATGCTCAGTCCTAGCTAAAGGTAACTAAAATTTCTTTCTAGTATTTGCCAGCTGAACCCTATGTACACTCATCTCAGTAGGGTTGATGAACTACAAGACAGTTAATTTTCTTGTCAGTAGAGTTGTCTTTTTAGTTTGTCTTTTATTTTTTTTAACCCCTAGGTAGACTGACCTCTCAAAATAGGTCTTTATTTCTTTAATACAAGAAAAGATTATGGGAGATTTTTGCTAAGAATTATACCATCCTTAAAAATTAATGTCTAGTTTAAGAACATATTTTTCTATAGTTAAGGGTTGGTTGGTAGACCTAGGGCTTGTGACTTTTTGGTCATTTTTTTTCCAAGGCTTGAGCTCAGTCTAATGTGGCTTTCCCTTTTTTCCCCTCACTGGTTTCTTCTGTTAAGATCATTTATTTTAAGAAGGTGTCAGTTATTGTGTAGCTTTGGATCTTTCTTTGTCTTTTCTCATGTAGGTAACCTGGTAGATAGAAACTCCATATCTGAAAGCCTTTCAAAAACAGCCTTTTAATAAACTGGTTTCCATATTCTGATTTGCAAAACTGTAGGTACAGGAGAGTCCCATCCACTATTGCAATTACCAGTGACATGAAGGCAAACTTGTCTTAAGATTTATCATAGCTGCGAAGACACAGGATTATTTGCTTACAATATGCAGCTTCAGAGTTTAAGGTTCAGGCACTTCAAAGCTTGGTCAAAATCGTGCTAAAATTGGTTTGGGAATGCCCTGGAACATTTTTTTTTAAAGTTTGGGAATTGGGGTAGGAATTTAGATTAAGGTTATATGAAGTCTGAAATGCTTTCTTCCTGTTTATCCATAGATCACATATTACACTTCTTTCATTCTAGGTTTGATCCTTGAAGGCCATGTTGCTTAAACTATATAAGTATTTTTGACAACTTTCTTCTTTTACAGCCAGTTCTGAGGGAAAGAAAAAGAAGAAAGCTTCCCAAGAAAAGGCACCTCTTAGTTTGTGGCTGAGAATATGACACTATTATACTACCAACTCTTTGGACTCTTTGGTGTCATTATTGACTCCAAGATGAACATGGGCCGACAATGCGAGGTCATGGTTGGCAGGGCTAACCGGACCTTGTCGTGCATCCACAGGTGCATCTCGAGTAGAGCCAGGGAGGTGATCCTCCCCCTCTATGCGACGCTGGTCAGGCCGCAGCTGGAGTATTGTGTCCAGTTCTGTGCGCCCCATTTCAGGAGGGATGTGGACAACATGGAGAGGGTCCAGAGGAGGGCCACCCGCATGATCCGGGGACAACAGGGCAGACCCTACAGTGAGAGACTGCGGGACCTGAACCTATTCAGCCTCCACAAGAGAAGGCTGAGGGGGGACCTGGTGACCGTCTATAAACTCACTAGGGGGAACCAGAAGGGTTTGGGGGAGACGCTGTTTCCCCTAGCCCCCGCTGGCATAACAAGGAGTAATGGGCACAAGTTGATGGAGAGGAGGTACAGATTGGACATCCGAAAAAACTACTTCACAGTTAGGGCGGCTAGGAGCTGGAACCAACTTCCAAGGGAGGTGGGGCTGGCCCCTACCCTGGGGGTCTTTAAGAAGAGGCTGGATGCCTACCTGGCTGGACTCATTTGAGTCCCGTTTTTGTTTTTAGGGTTTTTTGTTGTTCTCCCGCCCTGGCGGGGGGTCGGGGTAGAAGATCTATTAGGTCCCTTCCGACCCTAAAACTATGAAACTATGACTTCCCCTAGCTTGATAGATTTTTACCACACAAGTTATATAAGCTACTTCCTTTAGTGATACCTTGCTACTTTACCACATTTTCCCTCACGTTAAAACTGGCTTAAGAACTTAGTTTTTCAGAGA